CGGCTGGCAACACTGTGAGAAGGTGCCCATTACACACGGGGCAACGTGCCAGCTGGAATGAAGTGAGGTCAGTTTAAAATGCACACTCTGAAACGTAGGGCGACAGCGAAAGACACTTGTGAGGAAGTACATGTGGCACACCAGGAAAAGAGATGAAAGTGCGATCAGATAAGCTGCTCAATCAAGACTAGGAAAGGCAGAAAAAGAAGCCTGGCATCATACCAGGAACAGTTACATACACGGTAATATTAATTCAGATATATTCACAATCCACTTTGAATGTGGATGTTCTGTATACACCATCCAAAAGAGATTGTCATCTGGATAAAAAAAAGAAGACTCGACTATACACCGTCTACAGAAAACCCCAAAGCCAGACAGGTGAAAAGTAAAAAGTCAAAAGACAGCTAGAATAACTACTTTAATGTAAAGACAAAGCAGACTTCAGAACAAGGAAGATATCAGGCAGAAAGAGGGGCTTCGTATGATAAAATGGCTCAATTCCCAGCAAAGACATAACAACTCTCTAAATGTGCATGTACCCAGTAACAGGGCAACAAAATACATGAGGCAAAAGAGGATAGAACTGCCAAAAAGAAACAAAGTAATCAACCATTACATCTGGACTTATCACTTCTCTGTCCGATTATGCAGGCAGAAAATCAATAAGGATATAGTTGACCTGAGTAGCACTATCAACCACCCTGATATAACTGACATTTGTAAGACACTCCAGCTAGCAACAGCAGAACATACATTCTGGGCCATAAAACACACACACACACACACACACACACACAATATCTCACTGAGTGTGTAAGGGAACAGGTACTCTCATACCAGGCTGGCAGGAGCATAAACTGGCAGAGCCTCTTTGGAAGGCAGCCTGGCAACTACTGTCAAAATTACACGACACACTCTTACTACCAGCAACCTTGTTTTGAATAATTGATCCTACAGAAATACTCTCAGGTGAAAGGTTATTTATCACAGCATTCATAAAATGAAATCTCAAAACGCCACTTAATAAAAAGAGGCAGCTCTATTTGTACCACTTTACTCCAAAAGAGTAAAGCGCAGAGCAGTGCAGGCAGAATGTGGACAGGCAAGTAAACTAAGCTGTCTGCTGACGTGCATACCCACAGGTGCAGGTGCAGAGCCAACCTCTGAAAAAGTAAATAAGCAGCATGGCAACAGTGGCTGTTCTTGGGCGAGATGTGGGGAGGGAGACTCGTCTTTTACTCCATCTGGTGGGACCCACTCACGCGTGCACCCATTTCCCACTGAACACATACGAACAGCTCCTGTGAGAACCTGAGAGGAGCCACCAGAGGTATCAGAGGCAGAGAGGAGGCGCCCGACGGCTGCGGGTGGAGGAAGGACAGCGAGCAGGCCCTGCAGCTCAAGAACGATGTGCAGGAATACAGAGCTGATGGGAGAGAGACCTAGGGAAGGAAGCTGCGGGAGCCCGAGATGTATTCCCCTGGGGAAGGTAATGAGGATTCCAAACTTTCACAAAACAAGCAGCAGAAGTCTTTTCTAGTAAGTAACAGGTGAAATGCCAAAAAAAAAAAAAGAAGATAAAAAAGCACCATATCATTTAAACGTATTTAAGCTTAAATTAAAAAATTTCCTTCAGTCAAACAATAAGTACAATTATGCTCTACTGAAAACATAAATGTGAAATGGAGAGTGTGGAGGAATAGCTCAGGGACGCCTTAAAATCTACAGGTGGAAAAGAAGCTTCAAGCCAAGATCTGCCCTGAAGAGAATGAAGGTGGCGTCCAAGTGAGCACAGTGACCTCCAGCACGTCAGATTTGGTAAGTAATGTGTGCAAGTGTTTCTCTTTTAATCTACAGCACCACTGACTCAATGCACATGAAACTGAGCAATCTCTACAAGATAGTGAAGGACAGGGAAGCCTGGTGTCCTGCAGTCCACGGGGTCGCAGAGAGTCAGACGTGACTGAACAACAACAAATCACTTTAAAAGCTGGATTAAAAATGACATTAAAAAATGACAATTTGAATAATATTTGCATAATCTTGGAAGTAACAAAGAACAGAGCTTGAAAACCACTGGCCTAGAAAGACTGCGTATGATGAAAACTCATGAAATTTCCTGAGAAGCTAGGTTTTGTGATTGGACTGCTCCAATGAGGCCTCCCTCTCAGACAAGCTGGCATTTCCTTCTTATGTCCATCTTCTTCCTCCCACAGTTCCTGCACTAGACCTCTGCATCCCCAAACACCGCAGCTCTCCACCCCAGTCACAAGTCTGCCTCTCCGCACCGGGAGCGGCACTCTTCCCCCCTTGGTCCCAAAGCCCTGTTACAGCCAGCGGGGTGACATGTGGCGTGACACAAACCCATCGTCAGGGCAGGCTCTGCTGGTCTGCACGACTAGATGTGTGTTGGTCGTGTGCTGACTGGCACCTTAATCTTTGCTGTCATTATTAAAAACAGTAAAAAGAAATCCTAGGATGGGGGAAAAAACAAGTATAGAGGACTTGGTTGAGCAAACTGATGAAATTTTAGAATTTGGACTATGGATTAAATAATGGCTTGCTTCAATATTGAATTTCCTGATTTTGATCACTGTAGTGTAATTATGTAGGAGAATGTCATTCTCCATAGAAAATACAACTGAAGTATCCAGGGCAAAGAAGCATGATGTCTCTATTTTTATTCTCAAATGATTCAGAAAAAAATACATTATACATACATTCAGAATGCTACAGCAAAAACTGGTGAATCTGTATAAAGGGAATACAAGATTCCTATGCATTATCTTCCTTATGTCTGAACTTGTATGAAAATAAAACATTAAAAAATCGTAACACAGATGCTAATGTCTATTGATGTCTACTTCCTATAGGTTTACAGGCATTATCTCTTAATCTTTTTACAATGCCATAAAATAGGTATTATTACTATTGTCACTTAACAGTTACAGATGTTATAGAAACTTTCCCCAGGGTCACACAACTGAGTAGAAACAAGATTTAATCCTAAAGTCTGTTCCATTCAGAGCCAGAAGTTCCTAAATGTTGCACAGCTTACCATCCTTATTGAATAATCTTTCCTTCACAAACTTATCACAGAGCTACTATCTAGGTCAGAGCCCTGATTACTCATTAAAACATCAGGAAATGAATTCTTTTCCCACAATGGGTTGGAGATCCAACACTGAAGTTAGGGCTAGAAAGGAAAACTTCATGGAAGACATCGGCACCAACATCAAGAACTAGAAACCAACTTAAGTTGGTTATGACCATAATTTTTCTTTAAAATACCAAACCTTCAAACACACTTCAATTGAAGCAAAGTATATTCAATTTTATCAACAGTTCACAATGAAATGATTTTCAGCTATATTTACTATACATAAAACTCATGCTAAGGGTTTATTTTCCCTAGAGAAACTGAAAGCACACCCCCAGAGATCCATTCTACAAGACTTCTGGCTCAAGAGTCTAACTGCATTCTAGCCAGGACAGTAGTGGAGCCACGGGCCAAGCACCAGGGCATGGGATTACCCCACCGGATGAACTGGCATGCCCAAACAGCCCTTAAGAAAACAAGGATTCTTCTCACACCAATACAGGGGGCTGTATACTCTCTCTTGAAATATACGCTCGCTCCCAGACTAGCTGGAGTCTTCTGTGGGAGTGTTCTCTGTTCTCACCTGCCCTTGGACGGTTGTGAAACCACAATGTAACAGGCACGGTTAAATACAGTTAGTCCCTTTTTCAGACCTGGGAGAGTTATGTAGGCAGGATCCTAATACCTACTATATTAAACTATAAAGGACTCATTTTCAACTCACAATCAGCAAATAAAAACAAAGTGAAAGAAAAAATAACAGCTACATAAAGTTTCTAATTCTGAAAAATAGTAAAACCTCATTAAAGTTGGACCAATTACTTCTGAATTTCCAAACACTCAGATATGCGTGTCCTACTTGGTGTGAAGTGAAAAAAATGACAAGTATATGAACTTCTGTATTTACGATTAATAATTATGTAAAATAGGCATGATGGAAATATAATTTTTAACAACTCATTTCACTTTCTTTAACACAATTCTTTTATGCTTAGGTTTTAACAATCCATAAAATCACTTTTAAGAATGGGGAAACACTATAGGAACCATCTTGTTATTACAGCATACTGCTCACTTTTACTTAGCTTAAAGTAAACAAACTGAAAATGAAAGCAAACCTTAATTAATTCACTCGAATACCTGTCTGCCTGGTATTTTCCCAGACTTCTATTACACAATTAGTGCTTTTTCTGCCATTTATTTCTGTTCATGTGCTTTGGTTTGGTCTTCTGATTCAGCCTTCTGAGGTAACTATGAATCTAATTTGTGTCATCAGTACTTTCCCCTTCTTCCTGCTTGTTGGGTCATGCTTTCAATACACAAATCTCTTTGTTCAATGAGCCAGAGGCAGGCTCAGAGCCCTGGGGAAGAGTAACCTTCCCATAAGTGAATATGAAACAGTTAACAAGAAAGATACTACTACTAATAATAGTTATTATAGATAACGAGTACAAACCCAACATTATCATGTGCATCTTACAAGCAATATCCACTGATTCTTCCTAATAACCTTATGAGGTAAACACCACTATTATGCACATTTTCTCAATGAAAAACTGAGACACTGGAAAAGCTATGAAGTGGAGCACTGGAGTCTGACTTCACGTGGGGTCCACACTCAACTAGTATACTAGGACATACTGCCTCTCAATTCTGAAGTACAAAAGTTATAAAACGGTACTTCATTCCAATAGTTTGAAGTGACACTTTAGACTTTTAGATTAAAAGTTAGCTTAGCAAATGTAAGCTCTTCGTCTACATTTTAAAAAATAAATGAGACTGCACTATACTGGATGCCTAAGAAGCACAGCTCCTTACTGAGACCCTTAGGCAGCTTTCTTTTTGCAGCGGGTTCAGGGAGGGCAGGTGGCGGGCCCCAGGGGGACCGGTGCGGTACCTGAATGCGCTGAGGTGAGGCTACCGCGGAATCAGTGGAGATTATCTGGATGCGCGGGGAGGGGCTGGTCATCCCTGGAGATTCCGGCCGAGAAGTCTGTGTACGTGGTACCTGTGGGCGAGAAGCGGGCTGGATCACAACGGGGCTCACAAAGATGCCCAGTGGGGGTATGAGGACCATGCCTCTTGGTTTCACTGTGGCTTTGAGTGACAAAATGTGTAGTTTAGGATGACAAAGGAATCAATGAAACATTTCTACAAAATGATCCTGAAAAACAGCTAAAATAGCTATTTCTAATGTTGAAAATGCAAGAAAAAAAATGAAAGGAATTTTCAGGTCTACTCCGTACACCAGCAATAAAATATAAAGTTACCAAAATAACTTCTCAGAAATCATCTTTGAACTCCCCCCCCGCCACTGTCTCCAAAGCTATAAAGCACTCCTGTGAGATGACAGTTTTCAGAAGAAAGGATCTCACAATACTGCTGAGGGTGGCAAACAGAACCAGAATTACACTGTAAACTACCAGGATTATTGGTACTTGTGAAAGAGTCTGGCAACCTCCCGCCCCCACTGGCGTGAAACTTGAAAAAGTTCATCAATAACACAAGGTCAATACCCATCAAAGTAAAGGTTCAAGGTTCCAAACGTTCACTTTGACACTTGAAGTGATCAGGTATTATTTTTCTTTGAATAAAAGTATATTATGAGCCGATATTTTTCAAACTTAAAGAAGAAGAAGAACAGAAGGAGGAGGAGGAAGATACTTCTTGACTCACTCTATGAGGCCAATACCGCACCTGACACCAAAACCAGACAGATGATCACAACAGGACTACAGACCCAGACCAATATTCCTTATGCATAAAGGTGCAATAATCTGCAACAAAATCCAAACAAAATGAATCCAGAAGCATATAAAGAACCAAACACTATGACTAAGTGGGATTTATCCCAGGAATACAAGGTTGCTTCAACATATGAATCAAACAATATAATATACCTTAGAAGGGGACAAAAGTGAAATGATCATCTCAATGGACAGAAAAAGCATTTAACAAAATTCAACACTCTTTCATGATTACAAAAAAAAAAAAAAAACCACTCAGCAAACTAAGAAGTACTGATATGTCAACCTGTTAACAAGTATGTATAAAACATAGCTAACATAATACTTAATAAGACTGAAACCCTTCTCCCAATGACCAGGAACAAGACAAAGAAGTCCACGTTCACCATCTCCACGTGACATTATACTGCAACTTCTAGACAAGTCAATTAGAAAAGAAAGAGAAATAAAAGCAGCAAGATCTGGAAAGAAGGAAAACGATCTCCATTAGCAGATAATATGATCTTTTATACAGAAACTCCAGAAGATGCCACTAGGCGTCCAGAGAAACTACTAGGTCTAATAAATGAGTTTCAAGGTTGCAGAATACAAAATCAACATACGAAAATCAGTTATTTTCCTATACGTTAGCAAAGAGCACTCAAACAATCCCACTAACCATAACATCAAACACAGGAAAATACTTAGGAATAAGTTTAACAAACAAAATATAGCATTTATATACTGAAAACTACAAAACACTGTTGAAAGAAATTAAGATGTAAATAAACATAAAGACATCTGTGTTCATGGATCAGAAGACTTAATACCGTTAAGATGTCAATACTACCCAAACTGATTAACAGATTCAATACAGTTGCTATTCAAATTCTAGCTGCCTGTATTGCATAAATTGATAAATTCATCCTAAAATTCATGAAAATGCAAGGGAACCAGAATAGCCAAAACAATCTTGAAAAAGAACAAAGTTGGAGGACTGAACTTCCTGGTTTCAAAGCTTATGTGTCTCTTGTGTCTCCTGCATTGGCAGGCAGCTTCTCTGCCGCCTGGGAAGCCCCTATTAGAAAGCAATGGTAATCAGAACAGCGGGGCAACTGCATAAGAACAGACTTATAGACCAACAAAACAGAACAAAGAACATAGAAACTAACCTATCCATCAGTGGTCAGATGATTTTTGATGAAAGTGCCATGATAACTCAATGGGGAAAGAAGAGCATTTTCAACAAATGGTGATGGAAAAATCGGACACAACACAGAAGAATGAAATTGGACACCTCACTCCTATTATATAAGAAACAATTAATCCGAGAGAGAGAACTCTGGGAAAATGGTGGAGTAGGAAGCACCAGGAATCTCTCTCTCTACCTAGATCACAGACAGACATCAGAAACTGCCTGATGGGACTACTGTGGAACTCCAGAGCTCAATGGAGACTTGCAATTTCCAGGGGAAGCCTTGGAAGATACAGAGCAGTTAATTTTGGTCAACTTCAGCTCCTAGCACAGTAGTAGCAGCTACCTATCCCTTGCCCCTGCTAGAGCAGGCAAGTGTGCACACACTCCAGGAGCAGCCTGAACACAGCTCATGGGAGCCAGGGTGGCAGAAAGGGTCCTTGTCCTCCAAATACTGGGGACCTGTGCTCCAATCGCTGACTGCTTCTGATACCAGAGGTGCAGACAAGGAGGTGGCATCCATGGTCTTTGTACTCCCTTCTACTGTTGCAAATGCCCATCTCTGGCTAAAGTGATTTCCAAGGGACTTAAAAGACTGGTTTGTTCTCCCACCACCTACTTTTCTCTTTTCTCCTCTTTTGGGAATTAGACTAGACATTAAAGACAAAGACTTTCAAACTAACTACATACACAGGAAAAATTAGAAAGTAACTACACATGCTTAGGGAAAGACACAGGTTTAGAAAAGACCTTAAATTTACATGTCAGGATGTTGCTTATAGAAAGTGCTTACAATAAAAACAAATTAACAAAACCCAGCAAATACCTGCCAAGAGAGAGAATCTGATTTCTAGAGTTACCACATTATTAGATTCAAATGTCCAGTTTTCAACAACAAAATCACAAGGCATACAAAGAAATAAAAGTATGGCCCAGTCGAGGAAAAAAAAATTACATCTGAAAAAGATCTCATGTCAAATGTACTAGATAAGGACTAAACTAAAGGAAGATGTGGAAAAGTCAGAGAATGATATATGAACAAAATAAAAATACCAATAAGAGACAGAAAACCTAGAAAGCAAAAAAATTTTGGAGCTAAAAAGTTCAGAAATTGAAATGAAAAATTCACAAATGGATTCAAGGGAAGATTCAAATAAGCAGAAGAATCAGTTACCTTGATGGAATTTAGTGAGTAAGGAACAGAAAGAAAAAAGATTGGAGAGAAGTGACCAGTGCCAAAGAGGCCTGCAGGATACCAACAGTGAGACCAACAACACTGTGGGAGTCTCAGAGAGAAGCGGGTGTGGGCAGAGAGTAGCTGAAGAAACAATGGCTGAAAAACTTCCCAAATTTGAGCAAAGACATGAACATAAACATCCAAGCTCACCATATGAGGAACTCAGAGAGACCCAAATCAAGATACATTATAACAGAAGTTTCAAAAGAAGAGAAAATCTTGAAAGCATTTAAAAGAGAAGCAAACTGTCACATACAAAAAACCCACAATTAAGTTATTTGCCAATTTCTCTTTAGAAACTTTGGAGGCCAGAAGACAGTTGGCCAATACAGTCAAAGTGCTCAAATAAAAGAAATATGTCAATCTAAAATCCTATACCCAGCAAAACAGTCCTTCAAAGGTGAAGGAGATTATAATTAAAATGGGAGATTATAATTAAAATGCCTAAAGTTAAAGAGGATCCTCAAGGCAGCAAAAAAAAAAAAAGAGTTTAAAAGGGAACTCCCATAAGGCTAACCTCTGATTTCTCTACAAGAAATACTGCAGGCCAGAAGAAGTGGCAAAGATAAATTCAAAGTCCTGAAAGGGAAAAACCTGCAACCTAGGACATTCTACCCAGCAAGATTATCATTAGAAGAGAAGGAGAGAGAAAGAATTTCTCAGACAAGCAAAAACTAAAATACAGGAAGACTAAACTTTTACCGTTAAAAAATACCCAAAGGTCTTCTCTAAACAGGAAAGAAGGGGCCATCCCTGGTGGTACAGTAGGTAAGAATCTGCCTGTCAAAGGAGGAACACAGGTTTAATCCCCAGTTTGGGAAGACTCCACATGCCACAAAGCAACTAAGCCCGTGAGCCTCAACTACTGAGCCAGCACTCTGGAGCCTTCGAGCCACAACTACTGTGTGTGCTGTAACTACTGAGGTCTGCAGGCCTAGAGCCTGTCTCCCCACGGAGAAGCCACCACAGTGGGAAGCTCGCACATTATAATGCAGAGTAGCCCCAGTTCACCATGAGCAGAGAAAGCCTGTGCATGAAAATGAAGATCCAAGGCAGCTAAAATAAATTATTTAAAAAACATTAAAATAAATAAATTGTAAATAAGGAAGAACCTACAGGAAAGAAAAACACAACCAGAAAGCAGATCACTTAGATAACCAGCACACCGATTAAAAAATTTTAAAACAATGGTGTGAGTGATAATAGCTGCAACAAACAAGAAAAGGATAAACATGAAGATATAAAAGACATCAAAACCATAAAATGTGTGGGAGGTAAGAAAATAGGTTCTGTTTGTTTTTTAGAATGTGTTTGGAATATATATGAATATGAGTCTACAGTAAATGGGGGCTTCCCTGGTGGTCAGGTGGTAAAGAATCTGCCTTCAACTCAGGAGACCCGGGTTCGATCCCTGGGTTGGAAGATCCCCTGGAGAAGGAAATGGCAACCCATTCCAGCACTCTTGCCTGGAAAATCCCATGCACAGAGGAGCCAGGTGGGCTACAGTCCATGGGGTCACAAAGAGTCAGACATGACTGAGTGACTAACACACACACACAAATCAAAAACATACAACATATTCACAGAAACCAAAAAGAAGAAAACACAAGCATAATATAACAAAAAAACATCAGACCACAGAAGGAAAAGAAGTGTAACATCAACTGGAAAACAAGCTTTACAATGGCAATAAGTACATATCTATCAATAATTACATGTCAATGGACTGAACGCTCCAATCAAAAGACATAAAGTGGCAGATTAGATAGTAAAACAAGAGGCTACAATATACTGCCTACAAATGATCCACTTTAAAGCAAAGAACACATACAGGTTCAAAGTAAGGGGAT